ACCAATTAAAAATTATATAATGCAAGTCTACAGGAAAATGAGACTTGACTTAAAGACTCTCTTGATGCACCAATTGTGTCCACATCTCAGGGTCTCACTGTAATTTGGGGAAACAAGCATTTTTGTTGGAGGGAAGGAAATAAAAATGACAGGACATTGCAATTGATGATATTCTGGGCTTTAAAGTGCTTCTTGAATGAGTTGACAGGGTGCCAAACTTGGACATAATGGTTCATTTGCCCAATTTGCCTTCCCTTCAATACCCATCAAGTTAACTTTATCATTGTTTTTTTCTTTCCAGTGCTAATAAAATGATGGCTAAAAGGCATCCAGAAAATTTGAGTTTTGCAGGTTTGCAACAGAAAGCCTGAAGTGAGGGAGGTTCTTAATGCATTGTTTCCAAAGGGATTCAGACAGAGACTTTAAAAAAATTAGACTGTATATAATTGAGTTAGAGAGGTTCGACTGAATTATTCCTGCATCTCTTACAACAATGATCATGCAGTTGAACAAGGAAGGTGTAGAGAAGACCACGGATATGAAGAGACCAGAACTGTCAAAATACTGCTTCCTTGCAAATGCTCTCCAGTTCTCTGCCGCCAACTGGTTGATGCTCTCAGAAAAGTACACAGACAACACTGAAACATAAAAATACATCAATTAGTAAATAATCACTCATTGGAAGAGAACATTTCAAGGTTCAGTCTTGCTCATTAGTGAATGCTCAAAAATGTTGGAGCACTGCTACAGAATCACTTGTGAAAATTAGCACAAAATTTTTGTGTCAGTCCTGTGTTCTATGTAATGGAAAATAATTAGCAAGGAAATATACATGCAATGATTTTCTAATTGCTGCAATGATTTGTACTCAGATATAGAATTCAGTGAACTTCACATTCAACACTTGCATTTTCAGGAGTTGAAACCATATTCTACTTTAATTCCACCAAACATATAACATATATCACATCCACATGATCCATGGAAATAATGTTCTGAACTTGCACATTTTTCTGTGGTAAATGTTCAATATTAGAATGTTAATTAGTGAGCAAACAGTATAGGCCAAGTCCAGACTTGAATGGCAACAATAATACATGAGCAAATGAACACAAATCATGCAACTAGCCCAAACATTGTAAAGGAAATTCATGAAATTTTACATCCAAATACTGCAACTCTATTTGAAGGTACTGACAACACTTGCAGATCATTCCCAATACAGTAAAATCTTGTCACAAGAAAGCCTTAAAATCAACCAACAAACACTTTTGGCTGAACATATGATTTGTGACTTGAAGACTTGACCAACAATGCTTGGGCTTCAAAGAATTTCTCCTGATGAACAAGAACTATGAATTTGCCTGAAGATTTTCCTGTAGTTCCAAGATTAAAGATTTCAGGAAAGAATACCTTCTACATCATTATACTCACACAAGGCAATAAACAGAAACAACTGGAATGACCCACAGTTTCTGAACTTCAAGTTTAGGGCCATCAGCAACAAATGGAATGATATCAATGCCACCAGCCATGGCTCAGTCCAGTCAGTCTGAAAAAAATGAATGAATAAATAAATGTTAGCAGTACTGAATTGAATCAATTTCAGTAATCAAAAAGCAAAAGGATAACTCACCAGCTTGAACAAAGCCACTATTTGCTGTCCAGGATCAGGATCAATCCTGGCAAAAAACTCTAAATTTTCTGGACCCTCAGACCCTAAATTGATGTTTTCCATCTCACTCATGCACCAGACAACAAGGGATAAGAAAAAAGCCAGAACCAATTTCATACAAGGCACTAAAAGGACTTTCAAATTCAAAACTTTTAAAAATGAAAATGTGAAACTTCATGGACAAAGCCTTTACTGCAACCATGAGTCAGAAAAATCAATTTCTATAAAACCACAAAAATGTTTTCTTTTTCTTCTAAAAAAAAAGCGCACAGAAAAAATGAGCTGAAAATGCAAAAAAAAAATTTGATTCAAAAGTTATCAAATGAAGCCTTTCCTTATGAGCAGCATGCTTCAAACATGTCTTTTTTGGCTGACTAGTTTTCTATTGCGTCAGTAGCTTAAATGTTTCTGATAATACCAACACATTTCCAGCTGGATCTCCATGAACAGATTTTCTTTGAGTCTTTCTTGAATACCCCACAACATGAAGGGGAACATTTCCCTCCAGGAATTCTTCAATATAACCCCTTCATTTCTCATTTCATTTTTCTAATATGCCTTGTTTCCAATACCATGGGCTATGAATGTCACACTGTCTTCCTCGGAGTTGGAAGAATGGAAGGCACATTCACAGACAAAATTGTGAGCATTTTCTTTAAAATGTAATTCAGTACTGTATTTACTTGAGTACCACAGGCCCTGGAATAAGATGCACATTTTCCAGCCTAAAATTGGATAAAATCCTATCCCTGAAACACACACCCCATTTTTAGTTACTGAAAAATTTAAATACTTCAAAAAGAAAACCTAATTTGAATTTTGACGCAAAAAAGCACTGGAATTCAAATAATTATTCTTAGTTTCCAATTTTAAAATTGTTTGTTAAAATGGGTTAAAAATTGTCCATTACAACCAAATATCAGCTAAACTTCTAAAATGTAAATAATTTTCAATAATTGAAACAAGCTCATTTCTCCTCATGATAAAAAAGTGCATGTGGTACTCAAGTAAATACAGTACAGTACTTTGTTATGCCATCACCAAATAAATCAGTAAATTGTTCCTTTATATGACAAACAATTTTGGGCTAAAAATTCAACTGAAAGCTCTCTCTCTCTCTCAAAAAAAAAAAAGAAATTACTCACATGAAGATATAAAATTATTTCATAAATGCAAGGGTTGGTTCACAAATTTGCTCCAGCAAGTATTGAAACAAGAGTTTCATTCATGCCCCAGTAGGAGTTCAAGTCCTCAAAATATCAATAATTTGCTTCAAAAATGGAAGGCTTTACTTAATTTACAAAATAATTTTCTTCAAATTTTATTAATTCAACTTCTTGCCTTCATCATTACAAAAAATCAATGTAAAAAATTCATGAACCAACCCAAAAGGTTTCATTATTATTATTTTCTTTAAAGCAGTGGAAGAAAATTTTCAGTATTTAAATTTCAGGTTCCTGTTGAATATCTCAAAAACCACAAAATAGGAAGAAGAAAAAAAAAACATACACACAACAACTGAAAGCTGAAATTTCTTTTGAGAAGAATCCACACAGAAAAATATGTATAATATAATGTATTATATAATGTGAATTATATATATGCACTTGAAGGCCATTATTTATGCGAAGATCTCATCACAGCAGCAGCAGCAGGCGCCTCGGAAGACACGACCACATGCGCCCGCCAGAGGGCAACCGCCGCCATCACAGCCGCCCCGGCCACACACGCAAAAAACCCATTCCATTCCCACACAGACATGACTAAAGCCATCACCGGCGCCTCGGCCACGGCTCCCAAGAACCCCACACCATTCACGAACCCAACGGCGCCCACGTCAGCCGCCACGGCGCCACTCAGCACAGCGTCCACGCCGGAATTCAACACGCCAAACGCCGCCACCAAGACCGCCACCACCAGTGGATCTCCTCCGGGTGCTGCTCCTGCAGCTGCAGCAGCCAGCAAAGAAATGGCGCCTCCTGCAGCCAAAGAGCAGAGTGAGCAGGTGCGGAGAGCAGAGTCGCCCGTGTTGCCCAGGAGCCAGGCACCGACGGCGCCGCCGGCCTCCACGGTGGCGGAAAGGGCGCCTGCTGTTTCCGCGTCCAGGCCCAGCGTGTGATGCAGGCAACTCGGCAGCCAGAGGTACACTGCAAACCGCATGAACTGAAACACACAAACACAAAACAATTATCGTAAATACAGTAGCTGTAAAAAATTAAAAATAGAAAAGTAAACCTTTTTTTAAATACCTCTAGAAAATAAAATAAAAAGCTGCTGTAAAAATTACTGCAAAATAGTGGTAAAAAATCCCTGTAAAATATTTGCAAAACATTATTTTCAAATACTTTAGCTGTAAAAAATTACTGTAAAATAGGTGTGAAAATTCCTCAAAAATACTGTAGCTGCAAAAATTACTACAGTATAACGTAGCAGTATAAATTACAGTAAAATAGCTGTAAAATAGGTTTAAAATTTACTCTAAAACAGCTGTAAAAATCCCTGCAAAATACTGTAGCTGTTAAAATTAGTGTATAATAGGTATAAAAATCACTCTGAAATAGCTCTAAAAATTACTGCAAAATAGTGGTAAAAAATCACTGTAAAATATTTGCAAAAAATTATTTTAAAATACTGTAGCTGTAAAAAGTTACTGTAAAATAGGTGTGAAAATTCCTCAAAAATACTGTAGCTACAAAAATTACTATAAAGTAGCAGTATAAATTACAGTATAAATATTTGCAAAAAATTATTTTCAAATACTGTAGCTGTAAAAAGTTACTGTAAAATAGGTGTGAAAATTCCTCAAAAATACTGTAGCTACAAAAATTACTATAAAGTAGCAGTATAAATTACAGTAAAATAGGTTTAAAAATTACCCTAAAATAGCTGTAAAAATCCCTGCAAAATACTGTAGCTGTTAAAATTACTGTATAATAGGTATAAAAGGCACTCTAAAATTACTGTAAAATATTGTAGCTGTAAACATTACTGTAAAAGAACTGTAAAAATTATTGGACAATAGGTGCAAAAATTACTGTAAAAGAACTGTAAAAATTATTGTACAATAGGTGCAAAAATTACTGTAAAAGTTACTGTGAAATATCTGTAAAAATTACTGTAAAACAGCTGTAAAAATTACTGTAAAATAGCTGTAAGAAATTACTGAAAAAAGCCATTAAAAATTACTGTAAAATAGGTGCTAAAAAGTACAGTAAATTAGCTGCAAAATTTTCTTTGAAATCTTTCATTTAAAGCGGCATGACAGTACAAGCATTTCACTTTTCATTTAAAGGAGAAAATACCCATTTTTCTTCAGAAGTGAAATTAAAACTTCAATAATGTATATCCTTGAGTACCATGTGTCCTCAAGACATGCACAACAAGGTTTTCCAGTCAAAAAATTTTTAAATAAAATTTTATCCCCATAAGTAAGACACACAACCCATTTCAGTGACTTTAAAACTGCAAATATGTATTTTGAAAATAAGAACACCCACATTTGAATTTAAACAAGAACCATACTTGAATTCAACCAAGTTTTAAAATGTTTTCATCATAATATTATGTTATCCTGTTAAAATTGGTGCAAAATTAACCATTAAAATCAAGTGTAATGCACACTAACCCTCTAAAACTTAGAAAAAATGTACACCCACTCATGACATGCGACTTCCATTTTTCCTCTTGAATTATAGGAAGAAGATGCATGTGATATCCAAGCAAATACCATATTCAAGCTATGATTTCACTTCTGAGAGGAAAACAAAAAAAATGCATTGATGCACAAAATAATTTTGAAGATTCGCACGGAAGGTTAGCACTCAATTGAGTTTTGAATGGTTAATTGGCATTGGGTAGAGAATTGGCCAGGGATTGACTTAAACTTTTCAATCACACAAATTGTTTGCTTCAGATGCACAATAAATAATTTGAAACACTCATTTCTCAACTTGAAAAAAAAACTGGTAGCCATGTTTCTCAAAACCAACTTCAAAACTTACAAAAAATAAAATCCTTTTTCTCAATCATCTTCACAAACAGAATTTCAAGCAATGATGTCCAAATTTAAAAAAAAAGAGGCAAGACCAGGAAAAGCATGCCATTAAAAATGAATCCCTCCTGTTCTTTTCTTTTCACATATCAAAAATGGACAAATTAATGATCATAAAACTTCAAGGTTTTGGCAAAAAGTGACAACATCAAATCACAACTTGCTCCCTTATTTTCTTTCTGCATTCAACATCCTCCTGTTCTTTTCTTTTCACATATCAAAAATGGACAAATTAATGATCTTAAAACTTCAAGGTTTTGGCAAAAAGTGACAACATCAAATCACAACTTGCTCCCTTATTTTCTTTCTGCATTCAACAACAACAACAACAAAAAAGGTGGGATCTAAACCAGTCCATCATGCACTGCTTGCATCAAGTGTGCCAAATTCAGCACCTGCAGTCTCAATGCCAGACCAGAAACAAAAGAGGTGGTTGGGGAGGGCAAACTCAGCCACATTTTGCACTTTCTTCACAAAATTGCACAAGCCCATCTTCCAGTGTCTTTAGAATAAAAGAAGGAGGATTGCGTCCTCTTTTTCAAGGAGAAAAAATATCCCAGGACTTTTTTTCCACACAATCACTTCACACTCTTTTCTCTCTCGTGTCCTGTCGATGAGAGGGCAAAAATTAAAAATTTTTCGAAAACGCATATTGTCATCATCTCGGGTCTCAGGGTATAAATACCCGGATGGGGTCGATCAGAGGCAGGTAAACCAGAATGTGCTTCTCCCGGAGAGAAACAGGCAGCCACTGAAAAATTTGTGTCCGAATTGACTCAGTTGTTCTGAATACTGAAAATATTTTATTTAGGTGATGACAGCAAGGAAAGTTGACATGTTCAAAGTGAGTCACATAAAAACGAAACAAAAATAAAATAATGAATAGATTAAAAGTTGATTTCTGAATATAAATAAATAAATATTGAGTTCTGAATAAATACAAATTGGATAATGAATAAATAAAAATTTAAAAATTCACAAAGATAAAGGTAATTTTCCTGAAAGTTAAAGCATTCAACCAAAGTGTCATCAGATTCCTTTTCCATTTTGGCAGAAGGAATTCAAAAATATGGAATTGATTTTGTATTTTATAACTTGTATCTTATACTAGGGAATTCCTTCTAAACTGACCACCATTTTTAAAATATTAAATTAGAATAGAACTCATGAACAATAATGAAATTATTCTGACTCACAGACGTATCCATTCAATTCTTCCACCCAAATTTTCACATATTATTTATAATGATTTGTTAGCTTGAAAATTTGAAAAAATATCCTCCTAAAATTTACTAAAAGTTGAAGCAAGAATAAATAAAAGACAGAATCACTCCAACAGGATTAAAAAACATAAGTTCAATCTTGCCACCAAATGATTCCTGAAAATACTGTACTGTACAATCTTGAGGCGGTTATGTTCTTCTGCAATTTCTTCAAACATTCAAGGTCAAACCATCAAATGAGAATTGTACAAAATGCAAGAAGTTCAAAAATAACATTCTTCAACTTATTCAAAAAGAGGCCCTTTTCTGAAATTCATCAGAAATGTAATCAGACTTCTTGAGAAAAATAAAAAAAATTGGAATTTCCCTTTTTGAAATTTTCCATGCTAAATTTGCACTGAATTGTGAAGATTGCATTTAATTTCAAGTCTTTCAGTTAAACACATGAATTATGCATCTAATTTCTTTTTTGGAAAATGCAGTTCAATCAGCCCACCCAAACCTCTAAATTAGATTCATGTTGCCCATTATGCATAAGTATATTTTTCAATCTTGAACAAATGCACTTGGAAAACTTGAGGGAGGGAAGGTTTCTCTTAGCTTGAAAAGAGATCAATCTTTTCTAAATGAAAAGGATTTGTCACAAATGATAAAATTTGTTTCTCTTCATCTCTCTAAAGTTGGTCATTTTGAGTCTGGCGTTTTGCCTCTGCCTCTCCCAAGCCAACTACATCCAAAGGAACCCCAATGACGTGAGTATTCATCAATTCAAAACAACTCCTGGGTCAAATCAAAAATATTCAAGTTACTGAAAATCGTGTGATGCGGCAAGCAAAAAATTATGGATAAAGAAATGTCGCAATTTTTCAAGGGTGTATCAATACAATAAACTCTTTGTTTTCTTCGTATCGGAATTTCACTTTGTAAATCACTCTTTTCTTCTTCTTCTTTCAAATCGCCGGGATTCAAACTCTTTTATATTAATCAATTCAAAATACAGCCTGAAAAATTATTCATCATCGACAAGAAAAAAAGTTTTCAAAAAGAATATTGGAGAGAACTATTTCTGGACCAAATCAAAGTTATTATGGCATTGGAAAATCTTGTGATGCGGCAAGCAAAAAAAAAATTCTAAACCAAAGAAATGTTGCAAATTTTTGAGACCATCAACAAAAATCCTGTTTTCTTCCTTCGTTGTATCGAAAATTTCACTTTGTAAATCACTCATTTCTCCTTCTTCTTTCAACTCGCCAGGTTTAAAAAATTTTTTTTCTCTCTCTGTCTTCGCAAATTTTCGAAGGAATATCAACACAATAAAAACTTTGTTTCCTTCGTTCGTTATGAAGAAATTTCATTCTTTAAAATCACTCATTTCTCCTTCTTTCAATTTTTTTATCATTATAAATAAAACTTGCAAGGATTTAAAATATTCTTCTCCGTCTCTCTGTCTTCACGAAATTTCGAGGGAATATCAACACAATAAAAACTTTGTTTTCTTCGTTCTTTATAGAGAAATTTCATTCGTTAAATCACTCATTTCTCCTTCTTTCAATTTTTAAAATCATTATTAATAGAACTTGTCACCAGGATTTAAAATATCATTCTCTCTCTCTGTCTTCGCAAATTTTCGAAGGAATATCAACACAATAAAAACTTTGTTTCCTTCGTTCGTTATGAAGAAATTTCATTCTTTAAATAACTCATTTCTCCCTCTTTAAAAATTTTAATCATTATTAATAAAAATTGCAAGGATTCAAAATATCTTTCTCTGTCTTCACTAATTTTCGAGGGAATATCAACACAAAAAAAATTTTGTTTTCTTTGTTCGTTCCAAAGAAATTTCATTCTTTAAATCACTCATTTCTCCTTCTTTCAATTTTTTAATCATTATTAATAAAATTAGCCAGGATTTAAAATATCCTTGTCCTTCTCTATGTCTTCACTAATTTTCGAGGGAATATCAATAATGCCACAACAAAAACTTTGTTTTCTTGGTTCGTTGTAACGAGATTTCACTCTATAAATGGTTCTCTCTCTCTTTTTTTGCTGGGATTTAAAATCTCCTCTCACTCTTGCTTACCCCTCAGCCATCGTCATACAACTTCCGGTATCAAGTGCGCGACAACATCGGAAACAACTACGGGCACCAGGAACAGCGTCAAGGAGACAATACCCAGGGGGAATACAGGGTGCTCTTGCCCGACGGCCGGGTGCAAATAGTCTCCTACAGGGTGTCCGGCGACTCCGGGTTCGTGGCCAATGTCGAGTACGAAGGCGAAGCCCGTCAGCAGTTCCAGTCCCAGGGATTCCAGGGCCAAAAGTTCCAGAAAAACTACAACCACTACTAGTGGCGTCATCTATCCAAACATGCAATTAGTATATCATTCAAAATGAGATTTTCGGATTCGACATACTAACAATCGACGAAGATAGAGGGCCTTTTTTTTCTTCTTCTTCTTCTTGGATTTACGATTTTTGTATGATGAATTTATTCTGGATGGGTTAGATGAAAATTTGCCGTTCAGACGTCACTAACGTACCGAGTACATTATTCTTGGGGGGGTCTGGTACGTCAACATTTAATACTAACGGCGGAAAATACTGCAGTAATCAAATCAATATTTTTTTTCATGTGCACCGAATTTCTACCGCTTTCGTCACCAATCTTGCAAAAAAAAAAAAAGAAATCAAACCAAACAGATGCCAATTTGAATTGGCGAGAAACTTCAGATCAAAATTCAACTGCTTGAGAACCATTTCCTTTGGTTCAAATCTGCAAAATTTGAGAAAACAAAATCCCAGTGCGCAGATATTTCTTCAATTGTACAGGTTTCCAAGCTTGAATTTGTTTACTTTGCAATTCCGTTTTCCGCGAGAGTTACTAGAATAATTTTTGCTAATATTGCCTTGTACAATGCGAAAAGTATGTGAATAAAATTCGTCAAACGACTTGAAATGGTTGCAAAATCAATTCTTCCCAGTGCAAAGGTACAGCAATCAATAATCAGCGAAGTATGCAAATTATTACAACACGTTTTCATGACAGTGATTCACATCAATCAAAACATGCCTGTTCATAATCATATAAAATGATCAAATCACATGTTTGAAGCAATGCTTGATAAATACAACACCAAAATTTTACTCAATTTGAACAGTTTTAAAGGGTTTAAAGGGTTTAAAGAGTGTGTCTCATGATTAATTTGTGTTTTGTTGATTTTAAAATTGTATGGTCATCCAAAAATTCTGAAATTTTGAAACATTGCATTGTCATCAATGTTTGACAAGTGTAAAAATTATAGTAGATTAAAAAATTAATCTAAAAAACCACGTTTTTCAAGTAATCACCCTTTAAACCCTTTAAACCCTTTAAAACTGTTCAAATTGAGTAAAATTTTGGTGTTGCAAAATTTGATCCGGACAAACAAACGGACAAGAAAGCGAGTGAATAAAAACGTGTTAAAATTTCAGATAGATTGGACATTTGAAAGTGGGTCAAATTTCAGGAGCAAACTTTGCTAAATCTGGATGCCCCTTAGACAGACTTACACACAGACATACCCCAAGTCAAGTTGAAGAAAAGTCTGAAAAATCAACTAGCTTTCCACTTGAAACCCACCCCAAAAGATTACAATCACATCATTTCATCAAGGGGGAAAAGTTATGCAATTTATGCCAATTGAATATTTATTGGGATCTGATGATTGTTTCAATATTTTTGAAATTCAGTTTTACGGTATAATCTTGTCACAATAAAAGTATTCTTCAATGTCAAACTGTAATTGTTCAGATGGAATTTTTGCCACATAGTGAGGATGAAACTGAACCAAAAATTGACTGTACATTATACTGTATTTATTCTATCAATTTAATTTTTGATGAATAAAAATCCACTCCTCATTAGACAAGCAATCTGATTTTCTGTGACACAAAAATCCATTTAATTTACAAGATAAAAGCTAGAAGTAGAAGGTTGGACAAATCAAAGTTTCATTAAACTTGACAACATTCTTTTTGCTTCATCATCCTCTGCCAGTTTGGTTTGAGTCAGAACATGTCATTACAGTTATTCTTGTCTCTAAAAACTATTTTCCATATTTTCCCAAATAACACGTGCCCTTGACTAAAACCCACACCAGGTTTTTTTGGTCAAAAATATCTGATAAAATTGTATCCCTGAGTAAAACATGCACCCCATTTTCAATGCCTCTCAGACCCCCAGTTGCAGACATAATTGGTGCATCAAGAGTGTCCCTAAGTCAAAATGTCACAGAGTCACGTCTTGTTTTTGCATAGACTTACATTATATAATTTTTAATTGGTGCTTTATTGAAGAAATATTCTTCAGGATCCCATGAAAAAAATTGTTTGCCACTTGAATTTGATTCCATGAATATATTTTCAAATCAATAAGAACACTTGGAGCATTGAATAGTGTACCTTTGTACAGTACATTGAAATATTGGCATCTGTAAAAATAACATTCAAGTCACAAAGAGAGAAGGAAGTTCATCTATGATATAGGTGATTTTTTTCAATTAGCTGAATGGATGGGAAAATGATGGGAGAAATACCAAAGAATGTTTCTTGCATAGATCTTAGGATTGGAAATATCTGTTTCTTGCAATTAAGCCAAATCAAAGTCAATTTTCCTGAATTTTATTGGCAATTTTATCATGCAATGTCTGCATGTTGAGTCAGTATCCATATGTCAGACCTTTTTATGCCTTTTTATTGAAAAAAAGTCCCAATGTTGAATTGTCTGCATGTTGACATGTCCACATGTAGATGTCACACCGTATTTCAAAAATATTCACACCCAAATTTGAATTTAGACATGAATTGAACCTCAATTCAACTGATTTTCTATTGCTTCCAATAAAATGAGTTTTTCTGTTAAAACTGTTCCAAAATTTCCCATTTGAATCAAATAACATGAACACCTAAACTTCTGAAACGTTTTGAAAATTGTATACCTGCCTATGATGCTCATCCCCTTTTTTCCTCTCATGTTTGAGGAAAATTTAAAACTGTTCCAAAATTTCCCATTTGAATCAAATAACATGAACACCTAAACTTCTGAAACGTTTTGAAAATTGTATACCTGCCTATGATGCTCATCCCCTTTTTTCCTCTCATGTTTGAGGAAAAAGGCGGTACACTAAATACCGTACAGGTATTACAACTTAATTGAATGTATTTGAAGCTTGATGCGTACAAAAACTTGAAAAATGTTACAACAACAAAAAATTACAGCCAAGAAATGACACACAACCAACTTTTTTCCAGGAAAATGGTTTTCGGTGGTACTTGAGTAAATAAAGTACACCTTTTATCATATACGCACAGAAAAGTAAGGCATACCTTTGTGAAAAAGCTGCCATAGGCTACCAGAGTGAGGGCCATTGAGTTTCCAGTCTTCTTGCGAAAATCCTCTTCCTTTCCCTTCTTCTTCACATCGAGATTTGTACCATCGTCGACTCGAGCCACTGTCCAACACATTAATGTAGCGACGAAACACAGCGCTGAGCAAATCGGGAACACATTCCACCAGCCAAACCACTCCTGCAAATAAAAAGAAAAAAAATCGTCACCAATTGACAGACAAACAAACAATTACATACACTGTCTCATACATTTTCAAACAACAATGAAGTTACGCACAAAACAAAAAGCAAACCGATTCAGGCGACATCTAGCCTAGACGAAATAAAATGTTGGAGATTACGTGATGGGCACCAGATTTTCCCCCTCAAATTTAATTTAAAGCATCGAAAACGATTACGAATGTTTTCGGGATTTTCCAAATGAGACGTTTGAGTCACGAGGACGACGGACCTTGATTTTCAACTACATTTTGTACAGCAATAAAAAAAATTGGTTATCTGTTTACAAGCACATGTGGTTGTGGTAATGTACGATTGAAAAATTATTCAATTAACCTACAATAGCAAAGGAATTTTCAAAAATGCAGCACGCTTGAATTTCTGGAGATGATTTTCTTTCGATTGCATAAATATTGACACATGGTAACGTACAATGATTTTAAAAATACGAGGGTTATTCCACTTTCACAGACAAAAAAAGTCAAAAACTAGGCCTTGGATGATGTTTTCTGAAAGGAAATAAAATATTTAAAAAAAACTTGAAAACGATTGCTCTCAAAGAAATGTAAAATGCACTCACGTTTTTCTTTTTTGTGAAAAAAATAATTCAAAAAGATTTGAAAATTGTACAAGGTATAGTGAAGTGCATGCTGAAAACAACATGATATAATCAATTTTTGTCTGGCCTGAAAAAGTTTCAACAGCTCGTGACATGAATGGAGGACTCTCACTGTAACTGGAAAGTTTTCACTTATCATCATGCAGTAAATCTGAATTTTTTTTTATATAAAAATGTAACAAAAATCCCAGAACCTTAAAATTGCATGGGCTGCATCATATATATATATATATATATATTTATTTATTTTTTACACCGGTACCTACTCCAGAAATACCCAATGCCAAGCTAAAGTGGGATAACCCTCGTACAGTGTTATTCACAAAATTTTATAACGGATTTGCCACTGTATAAAGAAGCTGCTTTCCAAGTCTCCAACAGCTTCGTTGTAAAAAACCATTTTTTTTATGTGAACAGTACAAAAAATAATTAAAATGACGCCAATAAGCCGATAGACTCGCTCCTCCTCACCCTGACTCTCACAGCCACAAAAGTGGCGGCAAAGGCACCAACATACGCAGACGTGCCCAGGAATCGAAACGCATTCTGCACCCCGTCATCCCGGGTTCCACCACCGGCGCCCCCTTTCGACACGATGCGACACACAGCGGGCCACGCCAGGGACACACAACCCGCACTTGCTGCCTGTGCCGCCACCAGGGCCCAGAGGGCGCCACGGTCCATCGCCGACCTCGCCACCAACACCAACACCATGCCACTCGCAGACGCCAGTCCGCAACTCCACTGCAACACTTTCCAGGCGCCGCGAGCATCGATGACGGCGTCGGCTATAAACTGCACGCAGGCGTAGGGTACCAAAAAGGCGGCATCGAGCAGGGACAGCAGCGTGGGGCTCGAGGCCTGGCCCGATGCGAGAATGTCGGATTTGATGAGCGTCACGGGTTTGCGTAGCAGGTAAGTGGACGCGTAGGCCATCCAGAGGACGTAAATGACACGGTTCATCTTGCCGGGGTATATTTTTCTATCGGTACTTCTTTTCCCTTCTCTTTCTCAAAAGAAAGACGGCTCCCTGTGAAAAAAACACTCGAAAATTTGAAAAACGTTTCTCTCTTCAAACGAGGTTTGGTTCATAAGTTTGAAGACTTTTTGACCCCCACATGCGGACACCTTTACCTGCGAACAACTCGACATAGGGAAACTTATTTTCCCATAAAAAAATTTGTAAAAAAAGACCCAACATGAGGACACTGACTCAACATAGGGACATTTTGTGATAAAATTGCAAATAAGTTTCAGGCCAGATTACAAGAAACAGATATTTCCAATCCTAAAATTGATGTAAGAAAAGTTCTTGGACATTTCTCTCACCAATTTAATTTACCTTCTATTTAGCTGATTTAAAAAAATTACCTCCAGCATAGAGGCACTTCCTTCTCTCTTTTCCACTTGAATGTTATTTTTCCAGAGAATGCCAACATTTCATGCACTGTATACAGAGGTATTAGCATTGAAATCCCCAAATGTCCATATTGTGTTGAAATATATTGATTGAATCAGTTTCAATTGAGAGACAATTTTTATTTTTATGGAACTATAGTGCGTATTTTGTACATAAAATACCAATTAAAAGTTATATAATGTGATTCTAAGGGAAAATTAGACTCAACTCAAGGACACTCTTGATGCACAAATTACGTCTGCATCTTGTGGTCTCACTGCAGATCCAACGGAATTTCAAAAATTCCAGAAATAAATTTTTCTACTTGCATAGTCCCATCATTTGGCAACACTTCAGTGCTGTTCAAAATACTCTCTGCCAAGTTCATTGCATTCTTTTTAATGCAATAAATCCTGAAGCTGTCCCTTGTCCTCAAAATCAATCCCTTCCAGGTCCTTCTCTCCACTGTCATGAGCAGCCAGAATCAAGTCCTAGGGTGACTAACAGAATTAACAACTAACAGAACTCGATTTTTGGCAACTGTTTCAATTGTTGCATTGAAATTGGCGGAGAATACTGGGTGTTAGGAACAGATTTGAGTTTTGAAGTGAGAGTAGAGCTTTTAGATTTAAATCCTTTTTTAAATAAATCTTTGGACAACAATCAGCTGGGTTGCGGCTGGGGTGCTTCACACCCTAGTGTAAGGTTGGTATATTTGAAATAAAAACACAAGATTCTAACAACAGCAATTCTGCAGATTGACAACACAGTAGTCTTTTGCGTGAGACAGACTCCAGAGCATCTGATAATAATACTGTACATGCAATCAATCTGGTATTTAAACCTTTTCCTTTTGCAAAATTTTATCCCTGAACAAAATAATCCTTTCTTCAAGATTTCCCCAAGAGTCCAAACTCTTGTGGGAACTCGAGGTCAAACTTGGTCCCACAGAATTCCGGACGCATTCAGAAATTATTGTCAGTGGCGCCATTCTAATCTGTCTAGGATTCTATTTCCTATTTTCAAATTTCCAACACTGTATGTTGAACATCACTGAAGTGTTGCCAAATGCTGGGGCTATGCGTTGGGATTGTTGAAACTCTGCTGGATATATTTCAGAAAGTCTTGAAACTTATGAACCAACCCTCGCATATTTTATTCCCGATTCAACTCACTCCGAATCGCCCAAAAAAAAAAAAAAATCCTAGGAATAGTAGAGCCCGTGAGTGACTCCCTTGAAGACGATGTCTGGGAGACTGGATCCGGAATCACTCGACGCGGAATCCACGTAAGGATCGCGACAAAAGGCAAACACCGGCTGATGCGAGATGCACAACTCGGAAAGACTCTCCAACGTGTTGACGGATCTGAAAATCACATCAAAATTATTCGCATTTTGCAAAAAGCAAAAAAAAAAAAGAGGCTTCAATTCTTTGTCAAAACGTCAAATTTTCTCATGGTCTCAGCCGTTTCATCCCTAGAATTGACCACCCAAATCAAATCAAGACGCGACATATTTTTTTGAAGACGAATTATCCTTACTCCCATCCAAGTTTTTAAAATTTAACAACATTCGTCACTTCGAAGCTTCGACGTCACACGTCTTTAAAATTATAAACCTCACGTCTTTCAAGCATGAAAATTGCCCCTAAAAATAAAAACAGCGTCTTTTTTTTTTTCAATGACGTCTCGGATCCACTCGTAAAACGATAATCTAAAACTGACTCAAATTTAAAGAAAAATAAAAATTCTATACAAAAAAGTCTCACTACAAAATCGTATCGCATCATCAATAACCATATTAATAAATTTTAAAAAATATTGAACATTCAATAAAAAAGGAATGGAGTACATATCCATGTAAATTCAACCAATAAAATGTTTGCATAAAGAAGCAGTCCAGAAGGTTGACGGTCCAAAACCTGAAGTTTCTCACGACAGAACGAAACGTAAACATGATACAAAACGAAAAATTAATTCTTTTCTGATCCAGATAAAAATGCAAGACAAAACGTCTTTGACTCGAGAGAAAATAAAACCCAAGTCGCGTCTTAAATTCGAATAAATACTGAACCAACATTTATCCTATCGGACATGAAAAAAAAACAGAAAAACTCAAAGGAAATAAACAACCACGAAATTTCAGCAGGACATAGAAAGGCACTTACTCCAAGCTGTCACGCTTCAATTTTCCGGGAAGAGCCAGAAAGTCCACCAAAACTTCGGGAAGTGGATAATAATTCACCACAGCCTGTGGGGGAAAAAGGAGAGAAAAACTTGACTAAAAAGTCTCTTTCACAAAATTAATCCCGCCATTTTGCCTAATAACTGAAATGAGGAAATGGTAGAAGCTCAATCACGTTTGAAACCCTTCCGGCAATCAGGGGAAATTTCCGCAAGATACCGAGGGAAATTAATCCAAGAGCAATTTGACAGTTCATCAATCTTTCAAACGTTTCCCCACGTATCATTCAATCATTTTTGCACGTAATGAGAAATGGTTCTATAGTGAGCTGTACTGCAATCATTCGCACGGAAGATTCGCGTTGACCACAGACTTTGCGAAAAACGATCATCCAATTTTCTTTTTGCAATTTTGCACACAAAATGACACTCCATTCATTTCACCTGCAAATACGTTTCCAACGCTTTCCTTCTCTCCTCCAAAACCCTCGGGTTGAAGTTCCTCACTTTCTTCGGGGGAAACGGCGGCGTTTGGTGAGTTTTCCTCAGCTGCAACACAATGAAAGGGATTCGTGAGAAACTTCCGCGGAACACAATCAATATATTTACTAAAAATAAAAAAATAAATATCAATAAACAAGCTGAACTCGAGAACCTTCCCGAGTCGAATATTTCCATAATTCAAATTTTTCTCCAAGTCCCAGTTCGTATTCCCTTGGAAATACTACAGTAAAAACTTCGCTGACTCGAAGGCTTTTCCTCTCAAACCTCTTTACAGTACTTCGAATTTTCTGAGGAATTATCGCCCTTATTTTCTTGACTCAAGAAAAAAGAAATATAATAAAAAGAGTTATTTGATGGGGTTTAAAAGGAAGTGTTTCAAAGCACCAAGTTTCTAAAGGTATAGTTTTGCCTCTTCTGGTCTACAAACTTGCAAGATTCAGAAGTTCAGAACACAAACTTGCGAGGATTACTAAAATTCAATGAATGAGAGGGTTTTCCTCTCAAACCTCTGTACAAGTACTTCAAATTTTTAGAGGAATTTCGGCTCTTATTTTCCTGACTCAGGAAAGAGAAAAGCAATTAAAAAATTATTTGATGGGCTTTAAAATGAAGTGTTTCAAAGCACCAAGTTTCTAAAGGTATAATTTTGCCTCTTCTGGTCTACAAACTTGCAAGATTCAGAAGCTCAGAACACAAACTTGCGAGGATTACTAAAATTCAATGAATGAGAGGGTTTTCCTCTCAAACCTCTGTACAAGTACTTCGAATTTTCAGAGGAGTTTCGGCCCTTATTATATTGACTCAGGAAAGAGAAAAACAATAAAAAATAGCCATTTGATGGGCTTTAAAATGAAGTGTTTCAAAGCACCAAGTTTCTAAAGGTATAGTTTTGCCTCTTCTGGTCTACAAACTTGCAAGATTCAGAACTAGGATTACTAAACTTCAACGAATGTCCTCAATTTCAAATTATAAAATTCACGCTAAAAACTAGGAAAAATAAATAATTTTCGAGGTTCATTCACGGGGTTCCGATGATCCCCTGGAAACAAATTAAATCTTGAAAAAAATGAAACCCAACGGGAAATCGCGTTTTGCCCCGAAAAAAAAAAAAAACGCATCCAGACATGGACTAGTTTCGTTCTGCACAGTACAAAACCCTTCACTCAATAACACAAAGCTTATCAAGTCCCGCATAGATGTCAGTGCATGCAAGTCTCACTTCTCTGTGCAACAGGAGAAAAGAGCTGTAGCGTTTTTCCACGCAAGTCTTCTGACCCCTGTACCAAATGTCGATGAGGAACAAATGGTGGGGACGACTGGGTTCAGATACTACTCCAGCCAATTTGAACCCAGGGATGCCTGAAAAAAAAAAACATCGAATTTTAGTTTGACATCATAATTCCATAAAAAATGTAACTTCGGGGGCTCATGAATCGAATCTTGCAATCATTTCATGTGACAATGAAATTTTAATATTTTTCAGTCTTGAGATTATTGCAAAAATACTCTCGATTTCCTGACCACTGTTGAATTTTGAATTTACTTATATTGAATTGGAAGAAAAGACAGGCCAGTTGAAAAGGTATTTTATCCCTCATATAAATATAAATAAGTTTCATTCATAAAACTTACAGATTTTATAGCAATAAAATACTTTTTAAAAATTCAAAAATCTTTCAGCAACTAGTTTTTGACACGTAGCCCACATTTTTATGACTGATCTTTTGAAGAAAAGGTGCGCGTTGTGCTCTTATTATTTATGATTTAAAAAACCACAAATAACATCAAAAAACTCAATCCACATTCCAAAATATTGACAACTCAAATAAAAAAAAAAGAATAAGTATCAGGTACCACCCGCATCTTTCATCCAAAAATTTTAATAAAACGATATCACCAAATAAGATGCACATCCCATTTTCAGGGGTTAAAAACTAAAATATTTTAAAAATAAGAGACATCAGAATGCAAATTTGAGCATGAATTCAAATTATTCAATTATTTGATTTTTTAAAAGTTCCTGTCAAAAATTTCTCATCATATCCAAGTTTGGTGCGCACCTGAACTTCTAAAAACTGTTTCATTTTCAATTTTCTTCCTGAACATGACTCGCGCCCTCTTTTTCCTCTCAATTTTGAAAAAATAGGTGCATATGGAATTCAACTGAATACAATATTCAAAAAAGGAAAAAAAAAACTTACTGATCTGTACCAGCGACCCACCGGACGCCATCAACAGCCGCAATCAAGAAAAAACACAGGCACAAAAACAAAATCACACTGTGTCCTGAAAGAAAAAAACCATGAACAACCCCACCAAATTCAATCCACATTCCAAAATCTTGACAACTCAAAATCCAAAAAAACGGAATAAAAAATTGAACAACCGCTATGAAAAAAACACAGTTCGTTCTTGTCTCTCATCCTCACACATAAGTTTCGCGGGAATCGTCTCTAGAAAACGAATTCCTCATCCCAACAAATACTTCTGTCCTCTCTCCAACACCCAAGCTACACGAAGACCTCTTTCCTCCAAATCTGCCTCTTTGCTTAATCTTCTCCAGCAAAGAGAGAGAGAAACAAAAGGAAAAAATGCAAATATAGCAGCAGCATTGAGCATTGCCAAAAAAACAAAAACAGCTCAAGGACGAACATGATTTTAAGCCTCGCCAAAAAAAAGAGAGACATAATATCCCCACGATTACAGCTACACACCAGTTGCTTCTCCGGGAATAGGAAAAAACATCGAGCAGCACACGATGAAATACACCAAGTACACATCGGATTATTTCACCTTTTCGACAAAAACATTTTCTTCTTTTTCTTCACACATCAAAAAACGGAGCAACAGAAACAAAATAATCACATCAATCTCGCGCGGAAAAAAAAGCCGCCCATCGAATGCATCACCGGGGTTTCACACGCATCCACACTTTTTTTTTCGATCCCACAAAAAAACGAGGCAAGAATATTCCCAGATTTTCTCCTCTTTCTTCATCATCATCACTGTTTCGTTGTAGCTAAAGTTATTCAACTTTTGATACTTCAGTTAACTAGGCGAATTGCACTACGCAAAAAAAAAAAGCAGCGGGAAGGGAAAGAAATGCAAACAAGAAGAAGTATCTATACAAAACAACAAATCCTTCAACTCTCGTCAAACGCTCTCGAATCCGCAAAAAAAAAAAAAATTCATTTACAAACGCATGTCGGACTTCATCAACTATCGTCTAAGATTTTCGTCTTTTTTTTTCTTTCTCAAATGCCTCGTTTTGCAAGTTTTCACGAGAGTATTTTTTCAACAAGTCGCTAGAAATGGACGAACACTTTCTCATCCATTAATTCGGACAAAAAACCTGAAACGACGGAGCGAAGAAAACTGCGCATCATTTCAAATCGAAATGATCATCAAGTAAAGTAGGTCATGATCCAACAAAATTTGGTAAATGAGTCACAAAAAAAAAAAGTCAGACCGGAATTAATGGAATGAGAGTAATTATCCATTCCGTGACCAGAGGTGATGATCATCATTCACCAACTAATCCGCAAAATTTCTAAAAATCTTCTCCTAATCACTCTATAAAAACACGCACAGTTTCACTCGTAAAAAATTAAGTACTGAAGTGGAACCTTTCCTTTTCGTTAAAAAAAAAATTTGAAGCAACGCAACAAGTTACCAGAGATTCATTAGCAGAACTTCACTCCAAATAAACAAGAAAGCGTTTTACACATTGGATCAAAAATAACAGAAATAATCAGCAGTTCAATTCTCCCACAAAAATTCGCTAGATACACGTCATGTTGCTGCTCCTGATTAAATCTTTCGCTGCTAAGAATATCTGTTAGTTTCCCACGGAATTCCACAACGAAATTTAAATTACCCGCCAAATTACCATGTAGTCAACCAACCGAATTTTTCAAGAAAAAAAAAAACGGCGGGTCAAGCGTCCAACCAAACATGGCAAAAAAATTAAAAATTTCGCTGAGCAAAACAAATTCGATGAAATGGAATGATGACCTCAGTTGGGCAGGACGTAATCAGAGCAGATCCGAGGTTTCGATTCCAGACCCGACGTCAAATCAAACTCGCCCACATTCAAGTCTTCGTCAAAATCGAAAGCGTCGCCGAGAGACGAATTGGCTGCTCCACCCACGGTCACGTACCTATTTTTTCAAAAGAAAAAAACAAACATGATTTCGATTTCTTTATTCTGTAGAAAGCAAAAAAAAAAAAAACTTTTGATTGAACATTACCCGAAGTCATCCGCGTGTGTCGTCTTTTCCGGAGAGAACTTCCAGTCCTCACCCAACTGGCAATAACCATTCGGCTTCGCACCTTCCGCAGCACTATGATAATTGAGAAATGTTAGATTCGCAAAATAATCAAGAGGATTTTTTTAGACTACACCTGCCATAAAAAAAGTAAAGATGAAAAACACGGAGTCACACGCCCGCATTTCTGCTAAATTCGAGTTTAGACATTTAAAATATGATCGCACACAGTCTTTTTGTCCAGGTTTTGCAAATTTCTTCAACACAGAAATACAGTCGAACCTCTTCGAGCTAAACTTCAAAAAATTTTAGCAGCAGTTTTGTTGAGAGGGAAGAGGGAATAATTAGAGGAATTACTAATTGGTAATATTCTGGGCCTTACATTATTTTTAAAGGAGTTCAACAGGATGCTGAACTTGGAGGCAAAGATTCATTTGCACATAATAGTCTTTCACTTCCTTTGAATCACATAGAGTGTAATTTTTATTCCTTTTCTCTTCCGTGTGTCAATAAAAAAAAAAAGAAAAAGGTCTCCAAAAAATTCGACTACCGAAGATTCTAAGGAGGACAGCCTTCGAATGAGGGACGTTTTTTAATGTAGTTTCCAAGGGAATTCAATCAGGGACTCGAAAAAATCGACAAAAGGTTCGAATTATCGAAGTTCAACTGTTATTGAAGAAGAGGTCATTTCAGGATGGGTTCCTGATAAACTGAAATTTTAACATTTAAAGTCATGTCGTCATGTCATGTCATCCGCATTATCCTAGCATTCAAATTAACCATCATCAAAGCGTCAAATACAAATCTCATTTAATCTTTAGAAATCCAACCAAAAATGCAACAAAAAAAAGCTACAGATTTCGACTCGATAGTCGCCATCATTGCACTAAAAAAATAGAACATATGGAAACACTCACTTTTGCGGCGTTGGCTCATCAAATCCGATGGTGACGTAATCCTGAACCGGCGTCCTTTTCTTGGCGTCACTCGGCTGGTCGTCGATTCTCCACACGAGCTTCGTGTATCCCGACGAAGGTTCCTCGAAATCCCCACCTGAAAATCAAGTCGAAGAAACACACACGCTGAGTATCACACTTCTTTTTTTCAAATCAATTCCCAAAAAGCAGGCTTGAAAAATCTTACCATAAAAAAAACCTAAGTAAAAATTAAAAAAAAAATGGGACTCTCTCCAAAATAAATCTTGGGTAATTGATCCTCAAAAAGCAGTCGTAAAAAATTGTAAAAAAAAAAAACCTTGAAGACGTGATAAAAAAAACCTAAATTAGACTCTTCCTAAAATAAATTTTATCCTCAAAAGCAAACGTGAAAATTCCAACATGAAAAAACAAAACCTTAGAGACGTAAGAAAAAAATCTAAAAAAAAATTTGATTCTCTTGAAGATACATCTTAGATAATTAATCCATAAAAAGCAGACGTGAAATCTTCCCACAAAAAGACCTTGAGAACGTAAGAAGAAATTTCTAAAATAAAAAATGGGACTTCCTTTAAATTGTATAATATATCTCAAACAATTAATCCTCAAAACGTAGACGGCAAAATCCTCAAATAACGAAAACCTACCTTGGGGACGTGAGAAAAAATTTCTAAAATAGAAAATGGGACTCTTTCTACAATTTTGCCCTGCTTTAAATTCGAGGAAATGCCTCTTTCAGCAGAATCGGTCGTGAGTCGTCTCATGATCAAAGAATTCATTTCACACATACTCTCATTTGTGACGACACAAAATTCCACAGCTTTTTTCACACCCCAATTAAACGTTCGTCTAATTTTCACGTATTACCCAACAAACCTTTGCTGTCGGTGCCCGAGTCAGATGGGTGATGACTTCTAGACTCGGTGCTAGCGGTCTCATCGGCGCCACTGCAACCCGAAATGGCGTCGTCCCTCGCTGGCTCTTCCTTGACCGCTTCTTCAGAGTCCATTCGCAAGTACATGGCCAACCGGGGTTTATGAACGTCTCCAATCACTCCTCCACCAATTATTCCTCCATTGGATGGTGTCACGTACCTGAATCAAGCCGTGATCAACAACTCATTATTCATAAAACACAGACAACCCGGAATTTAGCGTCACGAAAATGCCTCGTCATGGATGAAAAATCTGCCAGAATAAAAGAAATACAAACTTTTTTCTCTAGGGATATCATTGAGCTATCACCAGAATCACAAGCCCACGCTCACATAAAACCCCCAGAATACTGCGTTTCTGAATTTACACCGTTGAAAAAACATTATTCCCATCACATGACACCTTCCTTTACCAAATATTTTATAAATGAAGTGCGAACTTTCCACAAAAGCAGACAAAATTTCAAGAAACCGCTCTTCTATTGATCAAGTTGCGTTCATTCCATGAAGAGATGTCAGCCAGAAAATTTAAAAACAAATCCCTTCTTCCACCGACAAACAACTGAATAAAAATTACAGTCCAGTACTTCACATTACTCCAACAGACCAGATAAAAAAAGAAGGAATAATCTTGTCCAATCAACAACAAAATATGTAAAAACGTACCCAAAGCTTTCAAACTTCTCAGGCAACTTGACTTCCACATTCTTCATCTCGATCCATCGATCCCTCAGCTTCCGGCCGGCAAAACACGCCCCGAGGAACAAGAACCCGGCAATGCAAGACACACCCGCAATGAGCGCCAGCAATTTCCCAGACGACCAAAACGGCGCCGCGCACGGATCCCCCCACAACCGACTCCATTCCCCGGGCAAATGCCGCCCAAACTCGTCCACGTTCACAGCACGAACATACACCGAATCCACGCAACGCGGCACGTCGAAAAACTTGGCGGCACTCGTCACATTCCTCAGGTCGTCCTGCTCGAGTAAATTCCTGCTGCTGCTGGTGTTCTTGCTCGAAGACGTCACGTTGACCTGATAATAAGTCACGGGTCCATTCGCCTCAACAGGCTTTCCCCACACCACCCGAACATGCGTCGCATTCACAGAGTCGGCGACGAGTGACGTCACTTGACCCGGGGTCGTCACGAGGGTCCGACGAACCTCGGGCTTGGAAAAGACAGAGCACACAAACTGGGTCCGGGTGCAAACCTGGACCCGGAATTCATAATCCGTGTAACCCCGCAGGCCTCGAATCTCGAACCGAGTCTCGTTCCCGCGAATCAAATGGTCGCAACTGTCGTTGACGCAGACTCGGGAATAGCGAATGATGCCGTTGAGGTCTTCTGGCACTTGCCAGAGCACCACTGCTGCGTGAGGCGCCACTTCCACGTCGGAGACTAACGGCGGTGAGCTCGGGGCGCCTTCTAAGGTGCCGGCGATCACTGGAGGGTCGTTGGGTGGAGAATCACCGCCTCTCGATCGCACCACCACGTTGAACTTGTAGTAGGAGAACGGAAGGAGTCCAGTTATGGTTCCTGAAATCACACAATCGACGTCAGTCCATTTTTAATTTGTCAATTCAGCAATAAATAAACAAAAAAACAGTTGTTCACTAGCGATACATTCAAAAAGACAGTACATTAGCGTGTTTCGGCGTTAGGATTCTTTGGTTTCATTGTTGGTTACTTACCAGTAAAGTGAACTTTGTTTTAAAAGATTTGTTTGAGTTTCAACATCAGGCGCCATTATGTAGTAATCACCAGTGGTTCCAAGAAAAGTAGAAAACACACCTTAATTTGGAAATTTTCAATAAAGAAAGATGCCACGCCATGCAACAAGAAAAATAATTTCAAAATTTTAAATTAATTTTCAAGGCATTTTTGCATCAATAGAGTTTTAAAAAATATACCCCAAACCGACAGAGGACAGCTTCAACAAGGTACTACGCAGTTGAACCTCAATATCAATCGAACCTCCCAAATTTGAATTGTTTTGTCCGGATTCCCTTAAAAACCTCTCCAACTCAAAGGCTTTTCCCCTCAAACCTCCGTAACTCGAATTTTCTACGGCCTTTCGGCTATTATTTTCTTGACACAGGAAAGAGAAAATCAATAAAAATCAACTCGATTTATTTCGAAAAGAAGTGAAAGACTAATTGGGCAAATGAACCCTTCCCTCCAAGTTTAGCATCCTGCCAACTCATTTATGAAGCCATTTACGGCCCAGAATACAGTATCACCAATTACAATGTCCTGGAATTCTCCAATGTCTCCCCATAACAAAAATTATACTGAACTCAAAACAAGCCCAAGTCGAATTTAATTTTGCTGGCCCCTTGAAATTCGACTTGAAGAGGTTCGACTGTATCGTCATCCACGATGAGTAGTATTCACTGAACAAGATTTCAAATCAATCTCCAATAATTGGACACATCGAATTCAGAAACCCGAATCTCACCTTTCTCGGCGGGTCCCAGAAACGTCGTGGAACCCCCTTTCGCCACACAACCACCAACTCCACTCTCATCCCCGACTTGACACCAGTACACAACGACGCTGCTAATGAGCCCGAAATGACTCTGACACTCGTGTTGCCAAGCCAGTGCCACAGCATCACTTTCCCTTCCAGTGACCCACACGTTCCTCAAGGGTCGCTTAATCTTGTTGTACTCCACACTACACGTCGCCCAGGCCATGCCACTCCAAATCCCGTCCGTATCCGCGGCCACTGCAAAATGATACGACGCCGCGGGATTCGGCACACTCACGTTATGCCTATCCACTTGCCCGACATAGTGCCAAGACAACAATCCGTCGCACGTGGCCACGGTCGTGTTTTTCTCGCAGAAGAAAACAGCGTAAGACGCGGTGCCCACTGATGGAGACCACGACACTTCGTACAATCCGTGAGAGAACAGGACACTGGACACACTTCGCGGCGGTTTCGGCAACGAACTCATGGCAGGGATGCTCAAAAATGCACTGGGTGAAGCACCGACTCGATTTTCAGCAGTGACTCGGACCATGACGTTTGAGTTTGAAGGCTGTTGGGTGAACTCGACGCGGTTCTCGACACTTGTGGCATTGGCGACGATGTCCTCGCCAGAAAGAATGTCAACAACGTGACGAAAGTCTTCTCCGTTTTCTAGGCATTTCGAGGGTTTCACCCAGTATATGACCAGGGTTCTGGTCTCACCGTCGGCTTCCAATATCGCTTCGAATGACGCTGGGTGCACCGAGGGCTCTTCTGGGAACCACGGTGGGGTAGAGTAAACTGACACAACACTTGCCGACCACAGGTCATCGAATGATGGGTTCGCAGGCGAAGATTTCACGCTGATCTCGTAATTCTACAATGGAGAAAAGGCTCGAGTCAAATCTTTTTCAAGTCCCTCTCACCCTCAATTTCCTAAAAAACGATGCATTGAAAACCTCCATAACTAGAATTTTCTGGAACCTGTTCGGCTATCATTTTATTGTTACAGAAAAAAGGAAGGCGATGAAAATGTTACTTGATGCTTTCTGAAAGGAAGAAAAGGAATATTCGGGCAAATGAACCCTTGCATCCAAGTTCAGCGTCCAGTCAACACATTTCAGAATTGTTCCTAGAATATCACCAATTAAATTCTTTCGTAATTTTTCTCTCTTTTCCCCAACAAAAGTGCTCGGTTTATTAACTCGGAAACTCCCCAAGTAAATTTTTTCGTTCTGGTCCCTTAAAGTTTGACTTGAAGGGGGTTGAATGTACAAATAATCGCGGATAAAAAAGAGTTCTTTAGATAAATTCAAATCCGGTGGGGAACAAACGAAAGTACGAGATGCTGACAGTTAAAACACCAGAGCAGACAGGGTTTCACTGTACTTTCCAACGATAAAACTCTCACCTGGTTGTAAAAGGGCAAAGTGAGCAACAGGGATTCGTTATGCGTGAAAACCGTGGTCCAGTCGCTGTTGCACGCATTACTCCGCCACATAATGGCATGCGCGAGATGCTGCTTGTGTGATTTCACAAAAGAAGACACGCCGAAATTCACCTGAACCGTTGAATTCCCCACTGGCACAACACTGAGATTCACCACCGGCGGCGGCACGAAATTCCGAAACGTTTCAAACGTGAACACGTCGAGAAATGAAGCATTGCCCAAGTTGTTGCTCGCGTCGAATCCAATGTGCAGTTGATCGCGAACGAGGAAAGAAGATTCTCCGTCTTTGAGCCAAGAACACCGACGCGTGTTTTGTTTGAGAAAGCCTTGGGTCGGGCAGCGGAACTTCAACGGGGAACGCACTGGAAGTCGGTAGAAAACGGCATACTTTGTCCTGACGGCGTTGAAAGGCTCTTTCCATTCACACGTAAGGTTGCGAAGAAAGATCGAAGTGCAACGAACGTTCGTTGGGGCCTGTGGCGGTGTTCCAACGTAAACCCTAGCCATCGCCACGTTTCTCAACGTTCCATCGCTACGAGGAACACTACAACGATAGTCTCCAGTGTCAGTTGCGTCTGCGGGGTCCTTCCGAAAAATGATACTGCTTGCGTTTAACACGGTAACGAATTTTTCAGGTACTCGGATCTGGGTTTTGTTCGGGCGATAAATCCCTAAAACACTTGCGTTCCAGGAGTTGGTGATCACATCTTCGTGCGTCAGGTCGAGAGAACATGTCAGATATAAGGATTTGTTCACAGGAATGCTGGATTCCCGAGGGTTCAGGGATCCGAGTGACCGCATCGCACCCAAAGGAACAACGAGGAGACAGGACGAGAGAAAAAGAAAAGCTGCAACATGCATCGTTTGCATGCTTGAAGCTGCCCAGCAGGGAATCAATCTTGCAGAATATCTAAAATAAATGAGTCCAGGTTTCAAGACTTTTGTCCAAACGCAGTCGGGAGGATTATCACCAGAAAATGTCACGAAAAAACCAGCTGTTCTAGTGAGATCTTGCATTTTTGCCGGAGCAAACAATTTATACTGAGTATTTGATATGCAGAAGCCAACCCACTCTGCGAAGGTTTCTTTTCACCCGCTTAAAAAATAACGCTCGAGGAAAAATAGATTTTAAAAAAGCATCTGAAGATACAAGCATAGAATCCCACAAAGCAGTTGGTCATAGGGTGATTTTCCAGACATCTCCTCAACATATGCCATCTTACCAACTTCCTCCTTAGAATGAGTCCAGGAACATTGATAGATCACATCGCAAATTGCAATTATGTTCGTCGCGGGTCTGAAAAACGAATATAAACTGTCAGATCTCATATTTTCTGCGCCATCCAATGAATCAAAATCACGCGAACTCGGTATTTAAAATGCTGCCCTTTACACACAAAAAGGCACATGAATGTGCAAAATATACTAAGTTTAGAAGTTAGCTTCAGATCTGACGATGCATCAGAACTTCCTGGAGTTGCATGATCGTCTTCTGAGAATCTAACAACCCAACTTCATGAAATATAGAAGCCAAAACAAAATACTGTAATCCAACGCAAACTTCTGAACAGAAATATCATGTGGTAGCGCAGCGAACTGCATGTTTTAACCGCGAAGAAGCATCAACGAACTCGATGATATGAAATTACAAAAATTAAACCCAAAATAAGATCGTCGGCGATTATTTCCATGAATATTCAACTCGCAGGAATATGTCCGCGCAATCGTGACTGATGCATCCACTCAATCATCAAATCCACATTCATTACACAAATGAGGTGCAATACTCGTCAACAAAACGTTGAACTGTTCACAGATGTCTGACAATTCAAAAACCCGCCCAGAAGAAAAACTCCTTTTCACCAGAAGTTTCGCAAACTGATAAAATCCTCCCGATGGCAGCGAGAGAATCTCTCCACCGCACCGAATTTGATCGATAATCATTCACAAAACACCATCATCGACAGGGAAACTGACTGGAACCAACAGTGTTCGGTTCCTCAAGACATGAGCTGTGATTTCAGTGAATATTGAATACAGTAACTGGATCACGTTCGTCGCCCATCAGGACCACCATGACGCGACGTTATGATACAACTTCCACTCAACGCCGCTCCATTCAACACTACCTCTTTCACGCCACCCCTAGGAGCACCAGCCTCTCACTGAGTGACTTCAACTGCAATGCTTTGGCAGTGTAAAATATAAACAGAGACTCCAAGGGCCTAATAACATAGTGCACATATAAAAACACCTTTTTAAATAATTAAAAATATATGGTACTTTCCTGTTATCTCTGTACCTCATTCCTAGACTGCACTACCATCCAGACAAATCTTTAGGACAAGTTCATAATCACTACTGTGAATTTTATTTTCTGCATGCTGCTGAAACTGATTTTGGGAGGTGGTTAGGTAAAGTTATGTTAGGTCAGGTTATGTTAATTAAAAGATATTTGTAACTAACATAACCTGACCAAACCTAACTTTACCTAACTGCCTCCCAAAATCAGTTTCAGCAGCATGCAGAAAATAAAATTCACAGTTTCTGGTAGGTTGTCATGATTATGAACTTGTCCTGAAGATTTGTCTGGATGGCAGTGCAGTCTAGGAATGAGGTACAGAGATAACAGAAAGTACTGTATTGAATATTACGTTATCTTCCTACTCCTACACCATTCAACATGTAATTTGTACCTGCAAGCATGCGCAGTTCATGAAGTCACTCATTTTTGGCGTTGAGGGATGGAGTGGTAGGGAACAGCCCTCTAGAGGGGCAGCTTGGAAGTGAGTGGCGTCGAGTTTGAAAAAGTACCATAACGTCCAATCACCCAGGACCACACACAAGCCATCCGGAAAACGAATGATGGCGTCCATGCATGGAAATCAATTAGGTGTTGTGCTGATCAAGAACAAGTTCCGTACAAAAAATTTTTTTCTAGAAATATAAAATATTTTCATGACAAAAAAATTAAAAATTCTTCGATATTTATTGACTTTGTAGCTTAAATAAAAAGGTTCTACATAAAATACTGTATAGGGAAATCTAATTTCAACTATGGTGATGAGAAAACACAGAGCACAGAGCTGTCGCGCAAAAACCAAACTACGGCTGACGTCTCACAATCAGAAGACTTGCGTCTGATTCCTGGTAGAGTCCCCAGTTACCGTCATTCATTCGCATATGCAGGAAAAAGTCATACTGCTTGAAGAACAATGTCCACCGAATAAGTCGTTCATATATGGTCCACCTGTACATATCATAAATAGGTACAAAAAGTGCATGCATATCATTTATGTACAATATGCTGAATATATACAATACCGTACAGTAGAATCTCCTTATAAGAATAAGGGAAGCCTCAGGAAGAGCCTGTAATAAAACAAGTAATAAAACCCTTGTTGGTGTTATTATAATGCGCTGATGGCTGCCTTTAACTGGGTATATAGCAGCAATTATAGTAGCATATTGTATGAGGGTTCTAACAAAAGAAAAAAAACTCATTCAATTTTTTCCCAGTTTCCAGTTTTGTCTAGGGATGAAAAAAAATTGGTTCGCGGTTAAAAAAGGATGAGGAATGCAATAAAAAAAATTTTCATCCACCTGCGGTGATGGCTTGTGGTCAACTTCAAGAACTTTTGTTAGAACCCTTGTATGATGCAGAAAATTCCTTTGTATTTCCCATATCACTCCCATCCATCAGTCAATATAGATTACTTTGTAACACCACAAAATCTGAACCAGCACTGAAGAAGTTGATGAAAGCATCCTATAATTTCAATCCAACAATAATGAATAGTGATTTACTTTATAATGCGCATCAACTTTGATACAGAACAAGTGGTAAAGGAATTGAAATTGAATTTTACCACAAAGAACTTTTTGTTTTACCATTATTCATGCATGCAATTTATGTAACTAAGGAGGTTTGATAACTAAACCTTCATATATGTCAAATCCCTTTCTATAAAAATTTTCAAATCTCTGTCTGAATTCCCTTGGAAAGAATGCTGTAAAAGCCTCCCATTTCAAAAATTGTCCCAGTGCTGCAGACCTTCATATTTATAAGAACATTTTTCATGCCTTTTTGGGGGTGGACGGACTTCTAGGTATGCTGCCTCCAAGTTCAGCATCCTGTCAACTCATTTGCATTGTCTCAGAATATCACCAATTTAATTTTTCTGTAAATCCTTCCTTCCCCAACAAAAATAATGCATACCTACCCTGGCTACTCAAAATCTCCTTAATTTGATTTTTGAGGGTTTTTGAAATTCAATGGGAAGATTCTTACAACTGCATGTACAATATTTATGATTGAAAACAAATTTTTTCACTTACAAACAACACATTGCCTTGAATGTATGCAGCTACAGTACATTCTAATTAATCAGAACAAATATAATACGGAACAAATGAAGTACAGTACAATATAGTATGTCATAAAATGAAAGATAGTCAAGTAAGATACAATGCATGCAGTACTGTACATGCAGTACAGTACTTGTGCGTAAGTCTTTTGGACTTTTACTTCCTCTACTTATCCTCATCCAATATGGCAGCGAGCTTTCGAAGCAACACAGGGCTGGAGTTTCATGCATTTGTCAGGATCCAGAGTGTGTTTCAATTTTAATTTATAATTCTGCAACTGATATGTGTGTGTGAAATTTTAAAGACTGAGATGAGATTCCACGTGTGGTCTGCAGATAAAAACTCGCGTTTGAAGTTTCGCATGACCCGTTACCGTGATATCCAGGTGCGAAGTTTGAAGGAGGTGCGCAGAGAGAAATTAATCGCACTCCCACAATTTTCGTGGCGTCTAGAGTTTGAGGACGAATATTCGCTTCTTTCTGGACTTGTGTTGCGAAGGGTATACTCTGTCTATCAAAATACGGCGGTTGAAATTTCGTCCCAGTCTTGTGATTTTGAAGTGAATTCCAGTTTTATTTTCTTGCTGAGTGCGATGTATCCAAAAGAAGTTTTTTGGTGCGACTAGAAGTCTTGCGTATACTGTAATGTTCTAATCTCGTCTTGTTCTATATTTTTCTGAATTATTTCCCCTGCAGGTTCGGCCATGAATCAGTGACGAAATCATTGTGCCTGCAGGTTCAATCCGTAACCCTTACTAAATTATTGTCCGACCCGGTCTACTTTACTCTGGTTACTGTGAATGTTGTGTAGTGTCGCGCGGAGACCTCTTTAATGGCGGAGAACGATCGTTTAAACATAGACAGTATCATCGCCCGACTTCTAGAAGTGCGTGGTTCACGTCCCGGAAAAAATGTTCAGCTGACGGAGCAGGAAATCCGCGGCTTGTGCCTGAAATCTCGGGAAATTTTCCTTTCTCAGCCCATTTTATTGGAACTCGAGGCTCCTTTAAAGATATGTGGTGACATCCACGGGCAGTATTACGACTTGTTGCGGCTGTTCGAATACGGCGGTTTCCCGCCGGAGTCAAACTACTTGTTTTTGGGCGATTACGTAGACAGAGGGAAGCAGAGTTTGGAGACGATTTGCTTGTTGTTGGCGTACAAAATCAAATACCCCGAGAACTTTTTCCTGCTTCGGGGCAACCACGAGTGCGCGTCCATCAACCGGATCTATGGGTTCTATGAAGAGTGCAAGCGACGCTATAACATCAAGCTATGGAAGACCTTCACAGACTGCTTCAATTGTCTCCCGGTGGCAGCGATCGTTGACGAGAAGATCTTCTGTTGCCACGGCGGCCTGTCGCCGGATCTGCAATCCATGGAACAGATCCGGAGGATCATGAGACCCACGGACGTACCTGACCAGGGATTGCTGTGCGACCTGTTGTGGTCGGACCCGGATAAGGACGTCATGGGTTGGGGAGAGAATGACCGCGGTGTGAGCTTCACTTTTGGAGCTGACGTGGTGTCCAAGTTCTTGCAGAAGCACGACTTCGACCTGATATGTAGGGCTCACCAGGTAATGACCCAGTTTTTAATTGTGAAATTTCAATATTTCGCTCGTATGTGTGTTGATATTCGTGTTATGTTGGAAGTCTTTGGACACAGTATGGATGCTGTTCGTTGAAAAATATTCCGAAGTGACGTCTGTGAGCGAAGTAGGGATGGTTTTGCGCCGAGTTGTAAGAACATGATGTATAACCAATCTATCGTCAACGTGAACTTCTGTGTAAAGCTGTCAATTTATTTAATATGTTAATTTAATTAATGTATGAAATTTACGAGTCGAAGTGCAGGTTGTTAACAAGTGAGTAAAATGCGGTACAGTAATTTCATCTGAAAAATCTCATACGATGTCGATCGGTATTGAAGTGGAAGTCGTGTTCAGTTTTCCCTGTGACGAAGGTTTATTCGGCGTTCTATGTAGAAGCGATTCGATGATCGGAGCTGATAGATGACTTTTCCTGCGAGTTATTGTAGAACGCTGTGATTCATGGGATGACGTGAATTTCCGAAATCTGATTGTGTTGCCCGTGGTGATTCGATCAGAGGGCATTAATGCAGCTCACGTAACGAAGTAATCGTGTCGATTCATTTCATAACTTCGCGTGCGAGTGATGAAAGTTGGAATTATCAGAATCCTACTGATCATTAGTTTGTACGTTTAATGGATAATTCAAGTTCGGTGATTTAAGCGTCGCTCTCTGTGATTATCGGAAGCTAAGAGTTGACATGGCGGAGTTTTTTTCTTGATGCGTCCCTTCAGGTGGTGGAAGACGGGTACGAGTTTTTCGCAAAGCGCCAGCTAGTGACGTTGTTCTCAGCGCCAAACTATTGCGGAGAATTCGACAACGCGGGAGCTATGATGTCAGTGGACGAGACACTCATGTGCTCCTTCCAGATCCTGAAACCCGCAGACAAGAAGAAGTTTCCCTACGGAGGACTCTCAGCCGGGCGTCCGGTGACCCCGCCAAGAAGCGGACCCGTGAAGCCAAAGAAGAAATGAAAAAGCCCCTCACCCCCCCAAGACGTTCAGAAATCAAAACGAAATTTCGTCATTGAAATTTGTGACGAATTTGCGAGATACTGTATCAGACAGGATGGTTGACATTATTCCGTGGTACTGTCCGCCCCCCCCCCCCCCCCCCCCCTTCTTTTTTTTTTTTTCCTTGCGTACTACCGTTCATTTTCGTGGTTTTGTTTCCCGTCGTCTATTCATCTTTTTGAAACTTAATCCAAGTGTTTTTATCTATATTCCGCCTCTTCGTTTCTCTCATGCGTTGGTGGAAGAAGTGCGACTGCGTCCGAGTGCCCAGTGTGTGTCTTCTTCCCGCAGTTATTTTTCTCTCTCCCGTTCGTTTTTTTTCTTTCTCGGACACGCATCTTCCAGAATTTGTTTTTTGTATGCTCGGATGCAGTAATGTATATATTCGGGGAGATAGCTGAAAGATTAATTTTTTGCGTGAAGGCGATCGAAGGAAGTGTGCTTTGTTTCGTCGAGATCCGAATAGCCTTTCCCCAATCCGAGTTGCCCCCCTCCTTTTTGATTTGGCCCCCGTCAGTGCCCGTGCGGAAATGGCGCCTTTGGATGTCATTTTTATGGCTAAGTTGCAATAGGCTTCATGTTCGGTTCCCGTTGTTCGAGCCGTTAGGTAACGAATTGTGAGTGAACAATACAGAGAAGGAGAATGTTAATTTGGTCTGTTTCGTCTCGTGTTTGTTTGACTCTCTTGTGTCGACACCCCTTGGTGGTGGTTAGGTGATGCTTGTAGGAATGTGACACGACGACATCGTGAAGTGATACTTTTTTTCATGGGGATGGGGGTGCTGGGCTGTTGCCAGGTGGTACCCGGAACGGTCCTTGTAAGAAGACGGTCAGTCGGTGTCTCGTGTATTGAAACGGGGAATTCCAGTGAGCGTAGGACGACGATAGTTGAGCGAAACAAGCTGCAGGGAAGAGAGAATTGACTGAATAATTCATGTGTGGAAGAATCTTTCACGCACATTTTGAAGACATGGGAAAAATGACAGTGATGTTCCAGAGAACAATGAATAGTCTTATTCCTGGATAAGTTTCATGAAACGGAACGCGCATTTGCTCTTGAGGTACATTTGTGTGCTGATGAATTTTCTTGATGCCAAAAAATCTTTTTATAGCTATTTAGATTGTGTCTGGCCGCAGCACACACAAACCCCAACATGTGGACACTGCAGCTTTGATGTGCTTGACAACTCAAAAATCTACCAACATCCAGACAATGTCTTGAGATATGGACACTTCACCAACATTTTGAGACAAATTTTAAAAAAATATTGTCTTCCAAAATTGTTATACCTCTAGAACAAATTGGTCTACTTTATCTGTCATATTCAAAAGAAGTTGATATGTTAATGCATTCATTTTTATTATAAATGTAATGAAGAACAGAGTTAAATTGGTGCTTCTTTTTCAGAGTCCCTTCCATCATCTGAGCACAGTATAAAAAAAAAGACTTGTTCTTTGCTTTTTGGGCTCTTCATGCCAAAAGAAAAGATTGTGTGTTGTTTTCTTCTGCACTATTATTTCCTGTTTCTTGAAGTTGAGAAAAATTCTTTCATGCCATTTTTATGAACTGTTCTCAATTTATGATGGACAAAATAACCAATTAAATGAAATTCTGTGTGGTCTGAAGGAAAATATGATCCAACATGCAGACAATATGACAAAGAGACCAGGTTCAAGTCTGCCTTTTGGGGACCCACTGCATCTTAAAAAGGCCTTTGCAGTATGCTCTAGAATTAGATTGTAGACCTAAAACATTTATAAAATCGACGTGTTGGAAGTCTTGGGACTCAATGATGGCTTGAGAAAATCCCTTTTTGCCAATGCTCAAATTTGTTTTCATGATTTCCTCTGCTTTTCATTATATCTTGGCTAAACATTCCGGAAATATGATTTCGTAAATTCCTCGTTACAGTACACCATTTTCTTTTGTGAAGTATATTTTACTCATTGGTATGGAAAGCATTGCTGATGGGGGTTCATAAAAAATGTAATTTCAGGTGGAATCCCTCAAAAAATCAAAGGGTTCTTTGAAATTTAAGAATGTCCATCAGGTCATGTTCTACACGTGACTAATACTGAACGAATGTTATGCTGCAGGAGACCTAACTTTTAGTTCAATCATGTACAGTACTGTACTTAAATGCGGTATACTACTACATTTTCGCAAGAAAGGGGAGCGAGCCTGATCTATTCTATAGCTAGCGTAGTCTTCTCGACCGAGTCACGCTCGTCGGATGATAGATGTCGCTGCTACGCTAGACACACGTGTATTCGCGTATTTCGCGATCAAGCTAACATTTTCAATAAAGCATGAAAATATTGCACTTTTTATGCATACAAGTTTTGCAGACTTTTATGTTGTCAGCTGAATATATGTACAGTAATGTGAATGATGGAAATTTTGCATCTTAAAATTTTGTTGCATGAGGATCTTCCTAGATCTGAATTATTCCTTATAAATTGTACCGTCTCACTGTTCAATACAATGTAACAACCATGATGCACATGCTATAGGACTTTAATTTCAGCAGTGAATCATCAACAAAAAATTCTGAATTTATTATCTTGCTCTCTTTCCAGTCCAGTATACTCATTTTATTCAACACATGAAAACTTCCAAGAACCATAAAATATTGAAAAATATTGTAAATTTGTGCTGAATAATTGAAAACCAAAGTTGCACAATCTTGCTGATGAGCCCAAGAATTGGAAACTGCCACATGATGCACATGCTTGGATTTATAATTCAGCACTGAATCATTCAGCAAAATCAGGATTTATTCTCATCATATATGTTCTCTTTCCAGTTCAGTATACTTATACTGTAATATGACTCATTTTTGTCCAACACTCATGAAAACTTTCAAAAACCATAATACATTGAAAAATCTTGTAAATTTGTGCTGAAGAATTGCAACAACAGAAAAATTGCATGATCTTCCTGATGATCCCAGGAATTAGAAACTGCCACAAGATGCACATGCTTGGATTTATAATTCATCACTGAAACATTTAGCAAAATCAAGATTTATTCTCACTTATGTTCTCTTTCCAGTCCAGTATACATACTATATATCTTTCCAGTCCAGCACTCATTTTGTCCATCACTGATGAAAACTTGAAAAAACCAGAAGATATTGAAAAATCTTATAAATTTGTGCTGAATAATTGAAAAAAATTGCATAATCTTGCTGATGATGAGCCCAAGAATTTGAAACTGCCACATGCTTGGATTTTTAATTCAGAATTGAATCATTTATCAAAAAAATCTAGTAGATTAAAAAATTAATCTAAAAAACCACGTTTTGAAAAAGGAAAAAATAACCTTAAATGTGGTGCGCATTAATCCAGGTTTGTTCTGACGCTTATCCATTTCCATTTTCTTCCCCCCTCGGATGAGAGATGCTGCCTCTCTTGCTGTTATTTATTTTTATTTTTATATATATATTCTCGCGCGAAAAATATAAAAAAGTGATTGAATTGAAGAAGGAAAAAAAAGAGCCCTCTCATGGGGTAATCGGAAGCCCGTCCCTTAATCCAAACCTGTCCCCATCATGCAGCAGTTCAATGAAAACATGATATCCGGTTTTGAAAACCCACTGGGGCTTTTAAAACTTGTCCCAGGAAGAAAGCAAAAGCTTTATATATATGCAGCAGATATACAGAAACAAATTTAAATAAAATAAAAAATGAATTTGGACAAAAAAAAAGGGAAGCAGAATATTCACCATCACAGTTACTCTTGGAATTATACATTTTTTTCAGAATTACATTTGCAAACAGAAAAACCAGCAAATCCCTGGACAATTTTTTTTTAACTGATAGAAAATTTGTAATTTATTCCAGAATTTACACACTGCTCACAGAAATTCTTGAAAATTTTGAAAGTAACATGACTGAATTTTCAGAATTGTTTTTTTTTTGCAAAGAGAAAAGCCATCAAATCCAGAAAACCCTAGTCCCCTGAGAATCAATTTAATGATCATCTGTGTACAATTCTCTTGATATTTATTATTCACATTTTAGTCAAATTAATAACTTATATATTGATACTCTTGCACAATTTCTGAATTTTTAGCATTTTTGTCAGTTACTTTTAGTACTTTGCACTAAGGCAATGCCCAGATGTGTTGTTTGCTTGTACACATGATAATCTCTTGAAGGGCCAGTTTTCATTCTTTTCTGACCAATTTGTGCACCAATGTTTCACTTTTTGAAAAGACTTTGTAATATGAGTCATGCTGGTGTCCATGTATATCACTTATACATATAAAAGTTTGAAAAGCCTTATAATCTGAAATCTGAAGAGAAAGTAAGCACATCAAAAAGGGAGATGAGAAAAACCAGTTTTATATTCAAATGTTTTGATTGATGTCAATGACCCAATTGATGTGTAATCTTTAATATGGAAGTTTAGTGTTGTTCTTGCTGTGCTGGGTTATTATTTGAGCAAAATTTGAGTTGCAAAATTTGATCCAGACAAACAAACAGACAAGAAAGCGAGTTAATAAAAACGTGTTAAAATCAAGATTTATTCTTATATGTGTTTTCTTTCCAGTCCAGTATACATATATAATGAATCATTTTTTTCAACAATCATGAAAACTTCCAATAAAAAACCATAATACATTGAAAATTCTTGTAAATTTGTCCTGAATAATTGAAAAAAATTGCACAATCTTGCTGATGATGAGCCCAAGAATTGGAAACTGCCACATGCTTGGATTTTTAATTCAGCACTGAATCATTTATCAAAATCAGAATTTATTCTCATGTTTTTTTTCCAGTTCAGCATATAAATAAAATGACTCATTTTTGTCAAATACTCATGAAAAATTCGAAATTCCATAAGATATTAAAAACCACGTGAATTTGTGCTGAAGAATTTCAATAAAAAAAAATTGCAGGATCTTCCTGATGAGCCCAAGAATCGGAAACTGCCTCGGAATTACGCGGCATCC